AATGCAATCTAATCTCTTTTATCGCTCCTTATCGATCTCTAACGCTAGTTATTTCCCGACCTGTATACAAACTTGCCCGCCTGACAAAAATAGCCGTAGGAATGAAGTCCGGAAAAGATAAATGATTATGTACCATGTAAAATTCACTCGGAAGGATGTATTAATTCAACCTTTAGGATGCAATAAAATAGCTTTTAAATCAACGGTTACATTTTTACATATTTACAGGACAGTACAGAAAGTTCCGGTCCGCCCCATTTTCATAATACTAACACTGTCCTTTTCAGTGGCATCCCGATTTCTTCACACTTGTTTCACATTTGGTGGTTATAGAACTTTTCATGTATCTCGTTATTTATTGTGAATAAACATTATTTTTTTGATATTCTGAATGTTTACTTGTTTCCTCAAAATTAGCAAATCCTGTATGAAACTAAAAGATCCTTGTATTTACATGTGGCGACCTTGCCAGGATTCAAGGATTTACTCGTTTTGAGGAGCAAGTTCTCGATAGAACATTAACATATTTTACTTCTTTATTGACACTGTCATACTTTCAGTGCTGTGAGGCAGTACGTGAAAGTGGTTTTGTTGTGGTTGTTGCGGGAAGGTTACCCCTTCATGGTTTGCCGTCCTTGGGGCCCGGAGGTGAACAGGTTGGACTTCAGGTAGTGAGTGAATATTCTTACCTTCTTGAGGGGAAGAAAGAGTATTCTTCTGAAAGTCCTGGTATTGACGTCATGTCGGTGAGTTCGTTCTGTTGAGACCACTTTTGTTTTGCTTGATGCGAGCAAAGGCTCCTCTAATTGTTTTTTTTTTCAAACATTCCTTGTATATGTTGGTCGGTTAGCAGTAAAGATTTTCTTTTTTATATAATTTGCATTTTTTTTTATCAAATAATGTAATAATGTCAGATCTTACTTTTGAGGTATTAAAAGCTCAGGCTGAGGCATTAGGCCTTCAAGGGAATGATATTGCTCAGTATGTCATTAGTCAACAGACACTTGCACGAGAGGAGAGAGCAAAAGAAAGAGCATTTCAGAAGGAACAATTAGAAGCAGAGAAAGAAAGGGTTAAACTTGAACATGAACTTCAGATGGCTCGTTTAAACAATTCTTCAGCCAGTTCATTCACTCCAGCTCTTTTTGAAGGCGCCTCGTGCCCTAGTTTGCCCGTTTTTAAAGATGGGGAAGATATAACCTCATATTTAATCAAGTTTGAGCGCATTGCCAGTTTGTTAAATTTCAGGGAGGAAACTTATGCCATTAGACTAGGAAGTTTGTTGACAGGAAAGGCAGTTGATATCTACACCTCGCTGCCTCCCAAAGTTACATCAGATTATCAGTTGTTAAAAAAAACTCTCTTACGGGGTTATAGTAAAATTCCAGCAAGTTACAGGAATGATTTTAGATCAGCGAAGATAAAATGTGGAGAAACCTATGAGCAATTTGCTGTGAGACTTGGTCGATTATTTGACTATTGGGTGGATGCGTGCAACATCACCAAAGATTATGCCTCTCTTCGTGACTTTATGTTGCTGGACCAACTAATGTCTTCCATTTCCCCAGATCAGCGGGTATATGTGAAAGAGCACAACGTTTCCTCTTTATCTAATGCAGTAAGTCTGTCAGATAATTGGGCATCTGCTCACAGTGTATACCCCAAGTCATATCAGTCCTCTGACCAACGTAAGAGAAATGTGGCTCCAAAAGCCCTGACTCCAGTTCAATCAGCTATAAAAAGGGATTTTTAATCTGTAAAGTGTCATGGGTGCGGTGACATAGGACACATAAGATCTCGCTGTCCTAGAAATCCCCTAGCTTATAAACAGTATTCCTCAGTTCCAACTCATAAAGTTGGATTTAGACTGAGTGACAGAGGGAATTCAAAGTTTATGACAGCTGGTACCTTGAATGGGGTTTGGGTCTCCACTATTCTCAGAGATACAGGGTGCACTTGTGTTATTGTATCTGACAAAGTTTTACCTGATGTTGATGTCTCTAGTGCTGATCTGGTGGGGATAGAAGATTATCTGGGCCGGGTGGATTATTTTCCCAAAATTAGATGCCTTTTGAAGTGCCCATACTTTGAAGGTTGGGTTGATGTGGTGAGAGGACCTATTAAATTTTACAGTATTTTGGTTGGGAATGTACCAGGGGCATATACTCCCAAATTATCTCGAGATTCTGACTTAAATACAACTCGACATATTAATACCACTTTTGATTATTCCTGTGCAATACAAACTAGATCCTCTAAAATTAAAAGGGTTCACCCTTTAGTCTTACCAGAGATTGAACCCCTTAAAGTAACCCCCAAGGAATTTGCAAAATTGAAGGCAGAATGTCATTCTCTGACCCAATTTTGGAAAAAGGTTAAGTCTGAAGAACTTGATAAAATGCGAGACGGCACAGAGTTTAAGTATGAGCAAAGAATGGTCTGCTTTACCGTACTTGTGTTGCTTCAAAGCACTGGGAAAGGATAGGTAAATCTTCCTTAG